TTATTTAAATATGTTTAACAAATAAAAAAAGAGAATTAAAGATATTTAAAAAAAACATAAAGCTTACGTAAAGAAATTAAGGTGGTGGATTCGAATGTAGGAGTCTTCTAAAACTGTTATAACTACCATTATACAGATCATGATCAGAAGAGACATCATTGTAATATCTACACGTTCTGGATACCGGGCTATTACTCGAGACATCGTTAATAGAATGTGGAATACAGAATAGTTGGGGTATACGTACAGAACGTGTTGACATATATATTTTTTATTGCACCAAAAAAATAAGACAGAAAAATTTATTATAGAAAAGGTGAGCTGAAGTAGACTTATCTCTAAAAGAGATCTCTTCAGAAATTTGGAGATTTTCTCCTCTGAGATTTTATTCTAAATATAACAAAACTCAAAGGTGACATGATAGGTTATCCGACCAAATTTAAAAAAGGTTCACATTAGCGCCATCTGGCGGCGAACTTACCTATTACAACTTCTAATCTATGGGCTGTCTCAAGCCAACTCCCCTCAATATGGTATATCCTCTAGCTGGTATTGCACCACCATACGTGGGTCAGGATGTAGTATGCTCCGCGGAGAAGTACAAACAAGAGAGTGACAGTCGCCGCCCTTTATATGGCCACCAAATTCCCCGAGCTCGCCTCAAAAGCCGTAAAAGCTTCCTGCGCACCACAAGGCGAGTACGAGTGACCATCCAACTATCACTAGGTGTGCATTGTGGAAACGGAAAAATCCGCCACCACCTGATTTCATCGCAACTACCATCAGTTTGTGACCTGCGGTGGCTCATGTGGAAGTCCTTAAATCGCCTTCGCACTCAGGTAGGACGCTGCAGAGACACGATGTGTAAATAAAACCCAACGCACCTGGGGTAAACCCAATGTGACTGCGGTGTCCCAACGCAGTCCATGCAGCACTTGTTGTTGTGCCCCTTGTGTCCTAATACCTGAACGAGGGAAGATCTCTACGCGGCCACGAACAGCGCAGTCAAAGTAGCAACGTACTATTCAGGGTCAATATAGACCTAAAATAAAAGAAGGATCGACACGATAAGAAGAAGAACAACTTCTAATACTATACTGTTTACATTCTTACACGCAACAAATTGCGTGCGCATGTTATTATACTAGGGTCATATGATATTTTAATCAAAGTTTAACCGACTCCATTAAAAAGAGGAGGTACTCAATTCGACTGTGCTTTTATTGTGTGTATATTACGCGATTAGTCCAATATTTGTTAACCGATTTCAATGTTTTTTTTTTGTTAGAAAGGTATGACCTTAGCAGCGGTCCAATTTAAATTTGAAGAAAATAGTCCACCTCTAAGGTTGGCAAATTAGGGGATGAATGAAATGGATTACAACCACTTTCCGTTAAACGATTTTAGTAAATAGATGTTATTTCACAAAATATTGAGGTCGGTTTTGTGAAAATATTCACTAGTTTTTTTTAAATATTTTATTAACTCAAATAATAAAACTCAAAAAACATTTATGAAAAAGATAGATAGATATACACTTTATTGCTCACACACATGAACAAAACAGTACATAGACAGCATAAAACTAATGTGGGCAAAGGCGGCCTTATCGCTAAGAGCTATCTCTTAAAGACAACCTTTGAGATATAGGAAAACTAATCAGAGCGAGATACGTAGTATGCCAATAGCAAAATTTGAATTGTATAGACAAACAATAATTTACATTATATCTTATCAAATAATAACTAACGATATAGTATACCTACATCTATATGAGTATATATAAATATACCTAAATAAATTTATACTTGCTAATAAATATATCCACGTCGCAAACTAGGACAGTGTCAGAAGATATTTACGCAAGCCAGTTTTGAAAATAGGAAGCGAATTTGAATGTCGGATTTCAGACAGGAGTTTGTTCCATAGTTGTGCAGCCCTAATCGTAAAGGAGTTTTTGAAATACTCCGAGCAAGTGCAAGGTGGTTTAAGTAGGTTATCCACTTTAGACCTACGTTCACGGAAAAAGGTTTTAATTTTATAGTAGTTTCGGTCAGAAAGGTCCTAATTTTATTAGTATAGTCAGTTTTTCTATCTACTCAGGTTATACTAAGCTGCACTCTACAGTGTTACAATGCCCATGTAAAATAAAAAATACTCTAGGTTGAGTATATTTTTTAATTCTATTTAATTAAGGGAGTTAAGTTTCAAAACTCTCGATGCTCCTAAGACTGAAAAGATATTATAGTCTATTTAAATTTGTTAAACGAAACAGACTGTCAATTTTGTTTACAAAAAAAACTCTCTGATTGTCTTCGCTCTTCATAATAAGTACGTTGTTCATGACGGCTCGTACAAATGCATGGCCGCATGGCAAATACATACGAAATCCAGAGCCAGTTTTCTAATTTTATAATCCTTTTGGTTATGGGCTTCGCTTCTAAATCAATCTCGAGTCTCGAAAATACGAAACCATCATCGAAACTCGCTAAACTTTAGAGACCTAAATTTCCAGACTGAAAGCCTTAAGTAATTTAATAATAATATAGATCTACAAAGTTCATCATACAATAGACGCAGAGCAGTGTCGAAACGCGTAGGTCGATAGTTCACGAACTTAATTGTTGTCAAAAACATAATGGATCAAATATTTGGGTTATGAATTTGGGGCCAATGCTTTTTATAAGATGCGATCGGTCTCCGATAGTTGGATCGTCACGGCTGTCGCATTGCGACTTTGTGTCGCGATAACTGCGTGTTATGCAGTAAGCAATTCCATTGAAGTTGTACAATTGATGCACGCTGTAAGATACCCGACCGACCACCCTATTGACCTTGAGAGCTTTCTAACACATTCTACAGAAAGAAAAGTGTAAAGCAATATCAGTTTTGTGACTGAAATTTGTATTTATACATACATACATACATACAGACCTGTGTGTACATCTCCGTATATTCCAAAAATAATCTGTATTTATTGTAATAAAGGTAATATCTAGGAAATGAAACTATTTTTCCGGATTTAAATCGCGTATATTTGTTTTTTCAAACAAACCGACATTTCGGGCCCTTTACAGGTCCCATGGTCACGGTTGACAGTCAAAGTATAGGGCCCGAAACGTCGGTTTTGTTTGAAAGAACAAATATACGCGATTTAAATCCGAAAAAATAGTTTCTTTTCCTATGTGTAACAATCGCGAAAACCTAAGAACTCGATAAAGATAATATCTCTAACAATGGGGGCTGTTCCAAAATATCTAATTACAAAACAAACGGAATCACATTTCAGCGGTAATTAAATATTAAATATGTAATTTTTCAATTTACGTCCATTACAGCAAAGCTCAAGTTAAATTGGTAGTTTTGAAGTGAAAAAATGACGACACTCGTCCATTGTTTCGAATCCGGGCTGGCCAATCGGAGCGCAGTTGTCACCGTAATGATTTAGCTGGATAGTTTTCAAACAAATCTGGTTAAATACTCGATGAATTGACACCACTGCTCTTGCATCTCGCTTCTATATGAGTGCATACACCTTGAATGCCGGTTGATTTCTTTTGTTTTCAGTTTTGCATAACTGTTGTGGAGTAATTATTCAAATTTCGTTTCATTGCTCTTGATTTTATGCTTTGTTGTTAACTTTTTGTTTGATTATTGTTGATTTTTTTTTATTTGTTGTTTTAATAACTTCTAACATAATAATCGAATCCTACTTGTTTTGTTTATTATATATTCTTAAATTATTGTCCCTAAATCGATTGTTTCTTCGACAATTATTTCAATAAGATTATTTAAATCGATTTTTATTCATTCGATTGGCGATTTATTGCATTTAAGACACTACACCCCTAGAAATATCAAATATACCTATGTGAAATGAACTATAGGGGATCAGGTATTGACTGTGTATCATGATGATTTTTACCATAATCGAGGGACTAGAAATAGGCTGGTCGTTCATTCCGATTGTTGCTTACAAATAACTTCTACACTTAGTCCCTCTCGTCGGTTCTGACTGAAAACCAGCGCCTTCGGGAACTTAGGCATATTCTGAGTCAGCGCCATTTCACTTCTATGACAAAAATATTTTATTATCCTTTTCTATTTAATCTGTATTTATGTCACATTAGTAGTGATCCGGATTGAGGAACTAATTTAGATAAATAAAAAAATAACATGGACATTCCCTTATACAAATCTCGGAACTTCACGGAACTGATTGCATTATTAATTACGAATATGCGTATTATTTATTGAAATTTGAGTACATTGGCGACATATACAAATTGTAATCTCAAAAAATAATTTTGTAGTTATGTTTTTATAGGTACTTACGTATTTAAATACTTTAGCCATTAAAAAAAAATATGAAACAACTTATATATATGGACATGGAACGCGAGCACAGGGCACTGTCGGTGAGGGCGAACATAATGGCTCGCAGGTTTGCTCGATGTACGGTGGAGGTGGAGGTCACTCTTTTTAGAGCCTTGCATATGCCATATAATAACGCATTCAGGACGTTATCGTCTGCCACGGTTCGGCAGTGCGTCTACCATGTTTGCTGAAGCTCGCGTCGTCAGTTTTGGTCGCAGTGTCTTTATTAAACAGAATACGTGACAGGTCTACTGAAGACTACCGCCGATAGGAGTGAGTGCCCCGTGATGCGGCATTTAATAACAACCACAAAATACGTAGTAGAACGTAAATACTAACCGAATTATAAGCTATTTTTGTTACTAACATTTCATGGATTCCTGTTGTCCGTAATAAAGATTTATTATTATTATATTTTGGAATGTTTAGAAAGTAAATTGTAAATAAAAAAGAAATTTTCCTTATACGCATTGATGACAAAACGGGTATGTCCATATTAAGAGAACATTCATTATTTATGTAAATTAAGTCCCTCAATTCCAATTACTGCATATTAGTGAATAAAGAGTATATCTATCTATATAAATAATACGTTTCTTGTCACCAGAAGCCATCAACCACTCTTCACTTCGTAGATTAACCAACCATGTGGCAAATATTTCTCCTGGCAGCTGTGATAGCAGCCGAGGAACACCCTACTCCAGCCAGCCTGCTGGGTCCCAGGCATTTCAATTACCATCCACATCAATATTTGAAGGAGGTTGAACCTACTAAGTAAGTACGAATAATACGCTACTCAACACGGCTCCAATTAAGAGGTCTTTTAAAATAAGTGCGTCTTTTCTAATAAGACGTCTGTAGAGGCAGCCACGCCACAAAAAATAATAGGCAGCTTTTGACACTTGTCATCGCGACGTAAATAGGGATGTTAACTAAACGTATCGGTAACCATATCCGATCATTCTCACGAAAAATCTAAATTATTTTTCTCGGTTATTGGTTTTCAGTTCTAGATAGAACAATTAGCATTTAGAATTTAACGTAAATAATAAGTAAATATTTTACAACCTGTAACTGTAGTTGTAGTGTAGTTACATTAACAGAGTTCAAAAGGACAATCTGTAATAGTAAACATCTGAAGAAAAACAAAAATAAGACTTCATTGTTTATATTTATATTCACTTTCATCGGAAGATGAACCAAAATCATCAATTGAGCTACTAACAACTGTATAATATTTGATTTTCAAATATTATGAAATTCGCACTGCGTCTTGTACGGTTTACTGGGTGACGGTGGTTCGAATCCAAGCGGATCGTGAATTTTTTCTAAGTGTTCGGATCTTTGTTTAATGCTTTCCAAGTACTGTGAATTTTCTAAGGACACGCAGGTTTCACCACGAAATTTTTGTTCACTGTTAGATACAGGTACTGCTACGAATGTACATAACTTAGAATTTAACAAGTGACGGGACGAACAAGTCGTGCGCCTGATGGTAAGCTACACGCCTGTCCGTAACAGTTGCAGTGCCACTCAGAGCTTTAAATTGCAAAGATCTGAAGGGCGTTGCCACTGCACCCGTCACCCTGAGACATAAGTTGACAAGTCCCATGTGCCTGTAATTTCACCAATACCCTTAACCTTCAAAACCGGAACACAGTAATGCTGACATTACTGCTGGGCGGCAGAAATAGGTAAGGTGGCAGTACTACCCTGGACGAACTCTTTCACAGGGATTTCTCCTAACTACTAAAATAACAATCTATTTTTGATTATTTTCAGACAAGGGCCAGTACTGTTCCCTAATGATGCGCCGCCCCCTCCTCGTCCGCCCCTCATCGTGACGTCACGACCACTTATAGAATCAATAGCTCGCAGCGAATTAAATCCTAATCCCCCGCAAATAAACAACAGTATCGCTTCTTCGTCGCAAATCAATAGAGTCTCATTCAAGCCGACTTATTTAGATTACTTGAAGCAAAATTTTTTACAACCCGAACCGAATATCTTGGTGGATCAACCAAAGCCAAACTTTTTGGCCCGAATTAAAGATTATAAACCCTTCGTTGGACCTGGGGTTCTGAATTTTGGACCTTATGCCGATGGGAAAAAGCCACTGAGTGCTGTGAGAAATAATGGATACAGTGATTACGAGGTAAGCATTGAACTTCCCTTGTTTGGTTCCGCTGATATTATCCCAAATACCCAGAGCACAATTTTTTTTTATTTATTTATTTCTCCACAGATATACAATTTATACTTATTCTAAAGATCTTGCCCACCTGGGCATCAGGTTTCTGGCAACGCTCTTTTCAATTACATATATCTATTCTGTTAATTCTTCATTAATTAAGTTACATTAAATATTAGCAAATTTTCTAAAGAAAAACTATAATTTTGCTAAATAATACTATCTCTAATCACAATAAATGTACACTACAGCATTTTATCACTTAGCAATACATTTTTTTATTTCTTTTTCAACACTTTTTTACTAACTTTCGTACTCTGAGCCAGTCTATTTTATTGTATATTTTTGGTATTACATATTTGTCACTTCTTTTTAACCGACTTCAAAAAAGGAGGAGGTTATACGTTCGGCTGTATGTGCGTTTTCAGATTTCTCCGTCAATAATAGACCCTTTTTTGAAAATTCTTTTTTATTTGAAAGGGTGCACTCTCGTGGTGGTTCCATTGTCACCAAGTCACAACCTGATGAGGGGATCCATGGAAATCGATAAAAATCCTCAAATTTTAAAGACATATAGGTACACTGACATATCTATTTTTTCCATGAATTGTGGACCGATTTTGAGAATTCATTTTTGTTTGAAAGAGTTATACTATCGAGGTGGTCCCTGATGCCAACGATGCTATTCCGGGCTCGTTTCGGCTATCACAAATTAAAAAAGTATTTTCCGCAAATAAAGTCAACTTTTCACTTGACACAATACATGTACAATAAGCAAACTTTTGAGTCCAATTTTTTTTTCAATGAAAAAGTTATTCCATAATTTTAAAAAATAATATAATAAAATATAAAATAAACATAAAATAAATAATAAAATTTAAAATACAGTGAATAGCGACATCTCTCGCCAGGACTAGTAGCTGTAAAGGTACTAACGGGGTGATAAATCTTTCATAGATTTCTCATAGATGGCGCTACGACTAAAAAGTCGTTGAAAAACCAAATACAAAGACACGACGCAAGCACATAGAAAAATTCGTTGGGTCCGTTGGTTCGTTCCGTGGCTTAGTTAATACAGCGTCTGGCACGGTATGCAAGAAGACGTCGGTTCGAATCCGACCGGATCGAAGGAATTTTTTCTGAGTGTTCGATCTTTGTATTAATGATTACAACAAACTAGTGGAGTAATTTCACAAAAAATAATTGAATATCAATTCAATAAAAACTTTAATATTCCATAATTGTTTCCATATTATTTTCGAAAAAATATTTTTATTTTTGTATTTTAATCTGTCAATTATAATTTCATAAACCATTTCACAAAGGCGCTCTTTTTAGTTCTGAACAGAACATTACTGTCTATGGCATTCGCTACTGGGCTGAAAAATTTCATTATAGTTCTGTACACAAAACCATAAAAATAGTAATTGCATGAAATACTGTTTTTAAATTTGTTTCAACTGAATCTGTAGAGCTGTTGTAAAAAAAAGGCAATAACATTCCGATCAAAACTGAACACAAATTAAAACTATTTAAATTAACCATAATTGACATAAACAGCCAAGAAAAATATCATTATTTAAGAAAAATACTACCAATTCATTTATACCACTCACTTACTTATTCAATCTATGTGTTGTCATCATTAATCATGTTTCAAACCTTCAATATGTTCGTATGAGTAATGTTTGGCCGGACATAATGAAAACCTGTTTTCACAAATAAATCAAAGTCAAAGTCAAGGTCAAAGATTATTTATTCCATAGGTAAAATAAATTTACACTTGAAAACGTCACATTTAAGCTACTGCTCGTTCACTGCGCTGACCTCCCTGAGAAGAACGAGCAAGAAACTCTAGGGATTGCTCTTTTCAAATAAACTTAAATGCACAATACACTTTGAAACAAATTTGTGTGGATTCTGGAGCCGTGTCGTCTTTCCATACATCTTTATCTAACACGTAGTCTTCAATTTTGTAATATGATTTTTCGATCAAAATATTATTAATGTAGTTTTTAAACTTAGGAAATGATAAACTTAATATACGCTCCGGAATCTTATTGTAAAAACATATACAGTTCCCCATAAAAGAGTTGTTTACCTTGGTTAAACGAAATCGTGGTACCATGAGTTTGGACTTAGCTAAGGTTAATATTATGGATATCTTCCTTCTTATTGAAATTATGTATATTTTTACGGGCATATAAAATATTTGAGTATAAAATATTTGAGTAAAATAATGAATTATGAAAGACTATAGAGAATTGGAAAGAGCAATGGAAAGGGCTATTCTCGGACTTCCACTCTTCTTCTTTCTGTTCCACTGCGAGATCGAGTCATTGATGAGGACATCCGCAACGGAACCTTAATAACTGACATAACCCAAAACATAATGGCAGTGGGCAGGGCACATTGAGCATGTGGCCGATGGGGCCGAAGAGTTCTCGACTGGCGATCGCGTACCGGAAGATGCAGCGTGGGTAGATCACCCACTCGCTGTGGCATTCTTTGGGGGAAGCCTATGTTCAGCAGTGGTCGTCATTCGGCTGAGATGATGATGATGAAAGGGAATTAAACTCGAAACTAAACGGATATTAGGTTAAATTGGTCAAAATCACCGCCATATAATTATAATCTTCTAAGGCCTCGTGTACATCAAAAAGTACATGATGTGTGAAGTGATTCAGATTCAAACAATATTCCTATGGTCACATAAACGTCCAGTGCACATTGTAATGAAAATAACGCATTCAGAGGTCACGGCCCACCAAATTATAAAAACTATACCCACGACGTACATAAATTACATATGGCTAGGTTTATAGGAAAATATAGTGTACATTATAATGGCACATGTCGCTTCGTTGTGGGTAGTAATTATGGTATAAAAAAAATTATCTTTTGTAGGAAAATGTCTAATAATTAATACAAAAATCGAACAGTTACAAAAAACTGATCCCGAATATGCGTGTAATTCAATTTTGATAAACATGTTACTTGTAAAAGGGACCTTTTTGTTCCGAGGGCAATGTGTAAGAATCCGCGTTTTTTTTTGTTCAGTTGCATAAAACTTACCATTATCTCCCTCTTTATTAGAATTTTTTATTGAACCAAATGAAAGAATGAATTTGCAATTAACATTACTGATAAACTGGAAAAGATAAATGAGTTTTTATTTATTTGATAACGCAACGCAATGCACGCTTTTTATGTAAAAAACTTCTAGTAAAATTTACTGTAACTTACTTCTTAAGGCCCTACATAAAATTCTAGCTGTATGTTACTTAATATAAGTTTCATATCTGTATTGACGATAAACTATGCTAAGTTAGTAATGAACTTCAACAGAAATACTTAAATAATATTAAAGAACAAAAAAAAAAGAAAACGAAAATATGTAAGAACCCGCGTTACACACCTACTGCAGGATTTATATGGAATTGAAAATAAAAATTGTATTGTAATTATAAAATGTACTGAAAATGTAATATAGACATGAGAAGAAGAAAAACAATTGGATTAAACAAAAAAAAATTGCAAAGGAATAAAGAAGAATTGTACACCGTTGACACAGTACATCAGTGAGTGTTGAGTGGTTGGAATCCCGCCAACAACGTGAATTTCAATTAGTTTGTGGTAAGAGTGCCGACATATTATCAGTTGACTTTCATGAAGGAGGAGTTTTGGTCGAAGGGTGTCGCACATCGGCGGTGCCGAGAGAGCTTACCTGTCAGCAGATTGCGTCATGCGACGCCGACAAGTGCCCTTCATGTAGATTTGGTATTTAGTTTTTGTATCCATCATCATGATCATATCAGCCGGAAGACGTCCACCTCTGATTATTTAGTAAGTGACCACGTCTCAGAACTGTAGGTCATCGCTGGCAACATTGTCTTCAAGGACTGCGGACTAGTTTTCATATTATATTAGGTATGTTAGTTCTTAAAATGTATGGTATATGGTTCATAGTTGCCTGATTTAAATTAATAGATTAATCAGAAATTAAAATTTCCACGCCACTCTATTACCGTACATCCGCTCCATGCGCCCATAGCACCTAAAAACGCCCTTTACAGATTAATAATATTAATTCTCTAGCTTGTCTATGGCAAGATATACATAATGTGCAACTCTATCATGGCTCGAATCAATTAGCGGTGGTTAGTTTGAATTAAATATTCAATACACTCCAAAAACAACGTACTTACGTATGTATCTATATACCTAATGCTCCTTGTGTTACGATGTAGTACAAGTAACTAGGTACTTCGTGTATCTACTGAGAAATTATAGATTCTCCATACAAACTTTCATCTCCTATTTTAACCCCTGTAAGATTTATTTTTGTGACACAAAGCTGCCTAAGAGCGCGTTCCTATTATGTCGTGACGGCAGATAGTCGTATAGTTTAAAGTGTCGTGACTTTTTTAATAATATTAAGTGACGGGAAGAACAAGTCGTGCGCCTAATGTTAAGCGACACGCCTGTTCATAACAATTGCAAAGATCTGACGGCAACTGCCACTGCGTCCATCACCCTGAGACATAAGTTGACAAGTCCCACGTGCATGCAATTTCACCAGCACCCTTACCCTTCAAAATCGGAACACAGTAATGCTGACATTACTGCTCGACGGCAGAAATAGGTAAGGTGGCAGTACTTCCCTGGACGAACTCTTTCACAAGGACCTCTACTGCTACTAAATACATTTAAATGAAGTTGTTCATATATAGTACAACACGATTAACTGTCGTTCACGACGTTTTTGATGTTACGACGACAGACTGTCAATACAATGGGAAGAGCTAAAACCACAGTCGTCTGATGATAAATAAAACACATACAGACAGATAATCGCAGTTACTAATGTCATCACGTTTTGACAAGGTGGCTGTGGTGAAACGATAAATTGTCGTCACGATCCAGTGGGAACAGCTAGGCATGACTGTCGTTCAACGATAAAA